TTTCGAAAATAACAGCTCGCAGCGAAAAAAATAGTTACGGCATTGGATTCTACTGAACTCAGTTTTCACATTTTCTATATAAGTTATAGGATAACCAAGATACTTACTAGGGAAGTCAAAAAATGCAAAATTTTCAAATTCGCCCTAAATTTCTGGAACTAAGAGAGGTAGGACAAATCTGTATGAAGCATCTTTAGTTTCATAAAAAAGTAGTATAGCGATGTGAAAACAGCATCTTTGTATCTCTACTCCTAAACTTCTAAACCCCACAAAACACAGGAAAATGGGACACCCTGTACACGGTTGATTTAAGCAAATTAGTTTGCATTGCCTGATATCGAGACCGCATCGAAATATTTACAGCAAGTAAGAAACTGACCAACAATACCCGAATTTTAAATAGACCTACATTATATACTTTTAAAGCTTTTTGGCTTCTACATAAAATTCTAAACAGAAACAGAGAGAAACAGCGTTCTATACCTAAGTTTAATGGTTTTTAATATAATTTAAAATTTATGTCAAAAATTAATTTTGTATACAGAACTAAATTACAGGTTTTCGACATCGACGTATTTTTTTATATTTACGTTGCCTGTTAAAAATAAAGAACTCTTTTCGAGAATATAGAGTAATGTCAGTTTTTCTCATTAATTTTTAGAAACAAAATTGTATTTTATAATTGTACATAAATATTACATTTTTTGTATAAAAATGTCTCCATTAACCAACCCTTTATTAAAATTCATAGGGAATTTAATTGAAAATTATAACGAGAGCACTTGAATACATTCAGTCACGAACATCAGAGACGCTCTCCAGTCTATCGTTCAAAAACACGAAAGGCTCATAGGACGAAATTGTTTTCTAACAGACGCGATGGTATGCACCAGACCGGTTTGAGTGTATATTAATATACATACAGGGTTCACCAAAAATTTGCAACCTTTAACACGTACTTCAAGGATTTAACATCATTAATCATTAATTCAGGATCGCATACTCTGCATCCCAAATGATACAAGTTGAGCTTGTTCTGTTCACGTAGGACCTAACAGCCGTAGGTCTTGTAAAGGGATTTCTTTGTAATTCGCACTCTATTCCTATTGAGCATCGCCATTTATGTGGTTTTAGAATCACATCCTTAGAACTCCTTGAAACAGACAGAGTTAGATCTTGCATCTGCCTCAGTCCTTTTCTCCAGTGAAAGGTCTGCGTTTTCCTGATCCGAGTTTTACAGCACTACAGGTTAGAGGTTATACATTCCTGCAGCAGTCCAAAGACTGAGATCTACCACAATCTTGGAAAACACACCACAATTTTCCAAGCTGAGCTATATGCTATTGGAACATGTGTGCAACTGCGTTGAAAGCACTTGAGGCAACGAGGCAACGAAAAGCACGTCTATGAGGATTCTTCATTGTAAGAAACTACTCAATATATTAGGAGATTGTAAACAAAGTGTCGCCAATATGGATACCGGGACATGTCGGCCTAGAGGGAAATGAACGAACCCTCAGACATAACGGCCTATGTTAAACAGCTGGGTCTTGAGGGTGAACTTTATGCTCTTTAGGTTTTTTATGCTCTTTTGCTATTAAAGAGTTTGTAGAAACTGAGCCACAATAGGCCCTCGCGGCCGCAGTGGAGGGTCCCATCTGGGTCCCACTCTTATAGTCCTTATAGTCAATACCAAATACGTTTAAAATAAAGTATACGGAGGGTACCGCTTAAATTCCTGTCCCGATATTGAAGGATGGCTATAGAATTTCAATGCATTTCCAACATAAGTCTATCCTTGGTTTGTAGGAGGTTTGACTAAACAAGGATGAACCTATGTCTTGAAACCATTCGACTCGATTTTCTGTCCTCCTTCAATACTGGGACGTAAATCCTCTCATTGCTCTTATGGGGGCGCCGTCGTATATTTTATTTAAACATATTTGGTCAATACAATGCAAGTTATACATTTGGAAAATCTGGACCAAGATAGGATTCCAATGATGCTTGCCTTACTGGTTCATGATTTTTTTCGGATGCCGCTGCAATGTGGCCCATTATATTACTAGTGCTACTATTATTACTATTCATAGGTACATGTATTTAATAGTTCGCTAGTTCTGATGGTCCGCTCAGGATATTCTTAAGTGTCTTCTCGATCTCCCGGGACTATATTTCTATTTTCTGAAAGCAATTTCCTTTAATATTATAAAAATATTTTTTATACAACGTACTTTGTGAGATTTTTTATTATTTTTAATTGTGATTTGTATTGTGATTTGTATATGATTGTCTTTTGTTCAATAACATTCAGAATAATTCATAATATAAACAATATTTATAACAAACAAATCTAAAGGTCCTCACAGACGCTCAGATCTTTGGCCAGTTTGCGCTGATTAACCTGTACTATTATCTGTCGCAAACACACGCAGTTTTATAGCAAAATTTTTTTCTACAGCTATAGCTTCCCGAGCTATTCTGTGAAATGTTCTGTCTTTTTGCATTTCGCTCGCTTGTACAATAAAGAAAAAATATATTCCTGTGTACTCCTCACTTTTTATTTTCCAGAAACAATTTAATTGGCAGAACTGTTTGTACAGGCGGCCTGTGCAAAAAAAAAACTGAACGTCTATGGGGTCCTTAATGGAAATATATAATTAGAATCTCCATTAAGACTGAATTATTAATCCATCTAGCTGCATAAATATCAATAAAAATCCATTAGCAAGATAACTTGGTATTAAAATTTTAAAAAATACACATTAGGATGTAATGAAAAAAATCTATCTAGAAGGAACAATCACATGAATGTATTGATTCAAATCCATCATACCGAGCATCATACATTATGCAACGTGATTACATTTTAATTCAAGTTAATGGCGATTTAATGACTATTGACTGTGACGTTCTCTTTAAAACGATTAAATAACCTAGGTGCGATATTTCAAATAACATAAGTTTATATTATGTTTATATAACTATGAGTTATACCTATAACTATCATTATTTATTTGATCTTAAAATAACATTTTTATATCGGTCAATATTATCAAAATGGTTTGTTAATGTAGGTGACATTTACTGTAAAAGCTTTGATGGATATCATATAATAAAAATCCATGAATGTGATATACAAAACACAAGGCATCTAATTCACGGGGTTCCAGTGTTCAGTTAATTATACAGGGTGTCCCAGAAATAAGTGCAAGTATTTTAACTAGTAGTATAGTTCAACCCCAGAAACACGCCTATCAGGTTTTTTTCACGAAAAATTTTTTTTGAAAATTCGAAATTTATTCACTGCTCATGGACATATGCACCTGATATAGCTGGGTTTCCATATTTAGGTAGGTCTTTATTATACATAGTAATTTTACATCAGCCCAATAAGATACTATGGTTGGAAACTATATTTCTTTGGCTTTTGGTTCACTGCTGATGGATGGACATATGCTATCCAGTTCGGAGTTTTTCGGTGTCCTGATTCTATTAATCACTAAAACGCACCAGTTAAAGCTGGATGTGGATATTTTAAATATTTTTTTATTATAATAATTCTACCGCAGCCCAATAACATTTATTTTCACTGCTGATTGACAAATGCCATCCACTTCACAGTGTTTCAGTACTCTGCAAATTATATATCACTAAAGTTCACTTGCTATAGCTAGATTTCGATACTTTAAATAGATTTTTATTAGAATAATTTTACAATGCTGAGGAACACATGCTATCCTGTTCACATTAAATTCAAGTACTCTGTTAATTATACCACTAAAGTGGTCGTGTTTTAGTTTGATTCCGATATTTTAAATAGTGTTTTATTAGAATAGTTTTAATATACTCCTTCGGCTATTAGTTCACTGCTATTCTGATAATTAAACTTTAGTGTTCCTGTTATAGTTAGTTTTCAACATTTTAAACAGTTTTTTATAAGAACAGTTTTATTCCAACCCAACATCATACTTTTTCGACTGATGATTTACTTCTGGTGGATACATGTGATCCACTTTAAATTGTTCTAGTATTCTGCTAATTATAAAGTGTACAATGTCTCCCATTTTCGTGTATTTTACAGGGTTTCTGGCTTCTGAGTAGAGATGCAAAGATGCTATTTTCACATGACTGTGCTACTTTTTTATGAAACTTAAGATTAACTTTTTAAAATATAGACGGCCGGTATAAATTAGGTAATGAAAACAATCAAATAATTTGAAGAAATTTGGTTTTTTGGGTTATTAGGCCGTCGTCGGTTAGAATTGCTTCCTAAAGTTTCGCTAGCACGAGTGGCTAGCATCCTCAGAAGTGTGTTTGCTTCGACTGCTCACACTAGACTGATCAGTTTAGAGACTGATAAAAATGCAACAGTTTCAAGTTCGCCTTGTATTTCAAGAACTAAGAGGGCTAAAATAAATCTGTGCGCATCATCTTTAGTTTCATAATAAAAAAGTGGCACAATGATGAGAAAACCGCATCTTTGTAGGTCTACTCATAATCGAGAAACCCTGCAATACACACGAAAATGGGACACCCGATACAACCTCTGTTTGGAATTCGATATCTCAAACAGTTTATTTACGACAATAATCTTACTCAATGCATGAAACACTTTTTCAATTGTCTATTAAATATTATTTTTATAAATAAATTTAATTAAATTGAGGTCTACTCCTACTTATATCAAAGAGTTTATTATTCAAGTAGACATAATATATAATTTGGAATTTCATATTTTTATTTGGATATAAAAAATAGTTGTTATATACATTTCCGGAATATTGAAAAATATATCCTAACGGCACACAGCCACGAAACGGCGCATCCTATCCATTTCCATTCCCCCACTCCCCCTTTTATCTCCCCCGCCACACCCCTCGCCGATCCAGGCGCCGCGGCGCTCGACGCCCAGCGCCGCCAAACGGCGTCGCTGGCAACCTCCACCCTAAAAACATTAGGGAATACACCCCAACGGCAACGTGGTGCTGCCCTGCACACTAACCCTTACGCGCTGGGCTCCAACAAAGTGAAAATTATCGTTTTTACGTCGTTTGTGACGCGTAATATTTTCGAAATTAGCCAGTGGTCGATAGTTTGTGTCGGTGTTTTAAGCTGACGTAGTGAAAAAAGTCGGTTACGGTCAGTGGTCGGTGGTAAAAATGTTTTATTTTGATTTCGCACCTGGAAATCTTTGGTTATATTGACGCCTTTCGCTTGGAGGGAGCTCGTAATTAACTTTATTCGGCGTGGTTGTCTGGATGATTCAGCGAAAGAAATTTAAAGCTCTTGTTTGAACATAATTTTTAATATTTATTTTATATATTTGGATATTTTGAAGAGACATGTTTTAAAAATATATTGAAATTAATTTAGGGTGAGTTAAAGAAATAACAAATAATTAAATTTAACTTATTTCTAATTTATTTAAAGTCAAAATATTTATATTCGCTTAGAACGCCAACAATTATTCAATTTTTATAGTATAGAGGCAGTAAATATAGGAAAGTTCTAAATTGATTTGTATTTACATTTAAATAGCCACTTGTTGCGCAGAATATATCTAGATACAAAAATAAAAAAAACTGCTCATTATCTGAAAATTAGTCCCAATAAATAAATAAATGGAAACTCTATTCTCTACTACTGGAAAGAAAAATATACAGGGTCTAAAAAATTGTATCTACAGATAAAAATAAGACAAAAATTTTCTATAAACATGTGTCCTAAAATGTTTCCTGAAGAAGTTATAACCCTTGATAATATTTACAGCCCTCTAAGGTCCTTTCTTGAAACATCTTGTAATTTTTATTTTTTTAGTGATCTAATGTATAATTACATTGTTAAATATTTTAATACACTCCATTCAAATTCCTACTAATTACCTATCAATTCACTTACTTTTTCTCATAATTTCGATATACTTTAAAATCATCCACTGAAAATTAGTACATTATTTTTGTGACACCCTGTATATAATGTAAAATATCCCTTTTAGTAAAAATTACTGGATTAAGAATCTACAGAGACATAAATGCCTTATTTAATTATTACTGTATCATCCTTATTGTTGTACCTACGTGAAATACTACATCAGATGATTTTTATATTTATTATTGACACTTGTATTCTTTGAAACTTCTACTATTCTGTATTGGTCAGAGATTGAATAAAATCCAATATTTTATACAGGGTGTCCTTGGCTGAGCTGGCACTAGAAGTTTCTAAAAAAAACAAGATATCTACATCGGACCTTTTTGGATAAATGTTTCACAATAAGATCTCTCAATTAAACATATTTTATGTTTAATCGATTAAATATATATATATATATATATATATATATATATATATATATATATATATATATATATATATATATATATATATATATATATATATATATATATATATATATATATATATATATATATATATATATATATATATATATATATATATAATATATATTTAATATTTGTAAAACATAATTTACTATAACAGGCAATTTATTTCCTTCTATTAATTTACTAATTAAATATCATTTCCTTATATCAAAAAAATAATTAGTGGCGAGGGTGGCGATTAGTTCAATATCATCGTTATTGACAAAGATATGAAAAACAAGTTTTATATAAAATCTTGCATGGTTTATAAAGGTGCATATTCCAAAAATATTTTACTGTATACACGGTGTGACAAAAAAAAGTTACGATAAAGTTGTATTTTTTTAAATTGAACTGGGTTCAACATAAAATTTTACATAATAATACACTATTTTTATAATATTTTGGGTAAAAAGGTATATCAGAAAAGTGGTTAAAACCTGGAGAGAATTTAACTCTATTAATACTTAGCTATATTTTCCTAAGCACCAAAAAAAAAAGAATAAATCCATGAAGGTAAACTCGCGTCATCTGATACAGAGAATTTTTTATGGCGGGCGTGGCCAACATTTCAATGTTTTAAAAGCTTTATCTCGATCTTTTAAATACAAAACCCTGTATATTATATATCTTTTTGTATTAAAATATTTTTGTATAAAAGTGTTCCTAAGTTTTTAACGGTTTGGTTTGGTTTGGATTTGGTTTGGTTTCGGAGATAATCGCAGTATAATATTACGTATGGCTCTTTAAATAGTAAAATATAAGGCAAAAAATCATAACATGCATGGCTTTGATAAAAAAAATTCTGTTCTTCTCTTTGATGAAAACTTCATTGTGTTTAAGATACAGTGTTTGTACCGATCACTAACTTAGACTTCTAAGCTATACCCGAGGCTATACCACTTCTCTTTGACAGACTAGAATTTTTTCTTTCTCAAAGACAATTTTTTATATAAAAAATCATGAAATTTTACAGAAAATTTAATTATAAAAGAGGAAACGGTGTATTCATTTAAAATAAAAAATTGCTTTCAACTTCCGGTACTTCCGAAAATGGCGCCATATTGAAAATATTTTAATAGAGACATCTCATTATAAAAATTTGATATATGCAAAAAAAGCTCGGATCTATGTTCTCTAGGAACATCTAATGCAAGCTCAGCTATAGAGCCCTTGGAAACTACTGCGCATCTATGTATACTTATTTCTCTGACATTTTTACATGAAATAGAGAATTCAATTTTTTAATATTTTGTTTTAATGCGATATCTCCAGAAAATTGCAGTAATCATATTACTAACAGTAAAAATCTAACTTAAACTCTCCTACTTTTTGAATAAAAGAAAAAAAATGTTTATTGATTTTTTTACTAGAATGGCTTTATAGAATATTTCCTGATGAGAAAATGGCATTAAAAGGGACACTACCGATAAAAAAAGTAGAACGACTCTGTGGCTGCAATGTTTCCCGCTGATAAAATCGTTTTAACTAACTTTTCCTATAACAAAACTTTTTATTACCTCCAGTATTGTTCTGTGCAGTTTTTAATCATAATAAAAGAATAAAATGATTCTAACACATTCAACTGTGCTTCCTATACCTTTGTTCAGTTTAAATTTCATTCGCGAAATACAAAAACATTTATTTCTATAACTCACCCAATTAATTTTTCTGTAGCTTACAAATATGGTCGAAAATTAACACTATGCAAGAACGAGAACGACCTAAGATTGCACCCAAACCTGCTATAGCATCCAAACCAAAATATGTTCCCCCGGTTCGAATACAACAAAGACCAGCTTCGGCTCAACTACTGCAATCGGGTTCACATTCTAGAACTCACAGTGCCGGAGAAACCGTTAAACATCCACAACATGTTAGAAAACCTAGTACTGGAGAGAATAAACTTTTGTACGACTCTGGATATTCGATTCCACATCCAATCAAACGTCCTCAAGTCGAGTGTACACCCAGTAGAGTTGCAGAATCGTCTGTTCAAAGTATTTTGAGAAGAGGGCAGAATGAATCTACAGAACCCAGAAAGATAATTACACAAAACATCTCGACTGAAAGCTCTAATCTTAAAAACATAGAAAGGCGACATCAAAAAGACAGTTTCCTATCACAATCATCTGAAAGCGAGCCTTTGTATCCAAGAAAAGAGCAATTATTACAACAAAAAGAGGCTTTTATCCAAAAAAGGAATGCCTTACAAGAACAGCTATGTCCAAGAAGGACTGCTGAAGAGGAGAACGTGAAACCTTCGACAATCAGACATCATGAGGGTCCAGTAGAACACCTAGCTTCATTTGTAAATGAAAAATATGATAAACTATACAGAAAAACATTTGAAGTTACTAGAAAACCACCTAATTCTCCTAGCACGGTGTGTTGTAGTATTTTATCAAACGCTGCCACCGAGTGCTGTGGGATAATCAATGTTAATAAAAAGGAAATGAATGGCAGTAGTAGCAAAATGACCAAGCTAGATTCAGTGGACTCTACATCTTCGGATTCGGGAGGTTTCAAGGATTTTGTGCAACTGCCAACCGATGAAAACCAGTCAGTATTTCATCATCAAAGGAAAATATCCCAGCCAGAGTTTCTTTCAGACCGAAAACTATCCCTGGGTCATCAAAGGAAGGCTTCTCATCCAGAATTCGAATCTTCTGTCAAACCCAAGACGACCTACGTGGCAAACGCTCAAGCTCTTGCACAGTTTCTACCTCAAACCGAACAAAAAATTCTTCAACATCATAAGAAAAATGAGGAAGCGCGAACTAAACAACCCAAGCCGATTCTGGCACAGGGCAACTTGCAACAGTCGACTAAAAAACTGGAACAGCTGTTGTCCCAAAGGTTGGAAAAGGAGAAAGTGTTGAAGAAAAGCGGTGGGAATTGTCTGATAGACGGAAAGGACGAGGACGTCGAGCAGAAAATGCTAATTCAGCGACAGCTGCACCAGAAACTACACGCTGACCTGGAACAGACCGTGAAACAGATCCAGGTGATCCAGAGTATTGAATATCGATTGCCGCAGAATAGGAAATGGACAGAGGTTCGTATAACTTGTGTATATTTTAAAGGAGATAACAGAAAAATAGTTTTCGATTTAAGTAAATGAGTTATATTTGAGTAAGTTTAATAATATGCGTTTTAAATTAAACTATCTCTCTGTCTTTGGAGCGAGTTCATTTTTAAGCGTTAATTTTTTAAGATTCTTGGTGACCTCTTTTCTATCTATTTCATTAGAACACTTTTAGTATAACTTAGCAAAAACTTAAGAAAACATATAAGTGGGTATGTTATTATGTGTATATTAATTTCCTAATAATCAGTAATGGTTTGTTTATTCTTAGTTCATTTTTCATCTGGTCGTTTCTAATTTCAAATTTCAAATGAAATCATTAATGCAATAATGAAGCCTTGGTACGCGCACACTGACCAGCGCCGCACTCGCCGCACCCGCCGCACGAATCGCACTTTTTTTTCTTGTCGCGCACACTGACCCGTACCGAACGTGCCGCACGCGCCGCATTATTCGCTATTTTGATTCTTTTTACCTTTACTACACCCGTATTTGCCAATCGAATTTCTCATCAGTCGTTTCAGGAGTCCTGTCTGCGGTGATAGGGTGTTTTTTTAATATTTCTCGACAATGAATGACAACGAACAAGAGTCATTATGAGTTCCTTGCTAATAGAAGAAGAAGAAATCACGAGAAAGAATTGAAAGTTATAGGTTCACAATATTTGCAAAAATCCATGTGATTTCCATATTTAATTGAGGATGAACTAAACATTTTTTAATATGAGCCATGAAAAATTTGCGAACTTTCTTAGCACTAGCCGCATTTACCGAAAATCATTCTGGCCCAAGAATGCTGGCCGCATTTTCGTCGATGCGATTCGTGCGGCTCTGGCTAGTGTGCACACCTTCATTGAAAGTAACACAAACAATATTTTTCTTGGGTCGATGCGGCGCGTGCGGTGCGTGCGGCTCTGGTCAGTGTGCGGGTACCTTTACTGTTCTTCTAGTACTTTATCTGGTTAAAGGTGAAGTAACGCCTTTCACTTTTCAGATTAGGTTCATATCTAGAACACTATCGATATTACGATATAATATACAGATTCGGGGAGCAGATTTTAATTTTAAGCTTAGCAGTAATTAGAGATTGTATGTGTGTTGCAATATTTATTAAACGTTTAAATAAATATGAAGAAATTAATAATTACGTAAGCATGTACGTCATTTTATTAGATATATATATAACAGAGAATGCGTAATTTTAAATAGTACACGGTGTCCCAAATTCGTATCTCATTATTTTCGGAAACTGTGAGAGATACGAGGTCGGTTAAATTGAGGCAAAGGTGCACAATTTGATGCTGATTAAAATTCCACCTTGAAAGTCTAAAAACTCCGAATACCCCTGAAAATTTAAAAAAAATGAATAATATTTCGTCTTATTACTGCCAAAAATCACTAACTTACATTGTGTTGCTTTCGAAATATACGCGTCTAAAAGGTGATGGCATTGCACAAATCAGTTATCCAATTTCATATTTTATTTTTGATACTAGCGAAAAAATTGAAACGATACTAGCAAATATGTCATTTTTTGAATTATATTCATTTCATAAAACGCTTTAAGATAAAAAAAAATATGTAAAAAGTGTAGTCAATAAAATGTAAGTTAGTGAATTTTGGCAGTAATAGGATGATTTGTTATTTCACTTTTTTTAACTTTATTTAAATCAATTGGCCGGCCGTAGCGCAAGCAGTGTGTCGATCTGCGGTGCGAGAGATGGGATGGTACTAGGTTTGATCCTGAGCCAGTACTGTCGCTTAATTTATTTAAATGAAAATGTTGATTTATCCAAATAGAGCGACCAGCGAGCCGCCATCTTAAAAAAGGCAATGGCAAACCACCTTGAGTATATTTGACGTGTACAGCCTCTCAAATAGTGCCGTTCGGATTCGGCGATAAACTGTAGATCCCGTGTACTTGTGAAACACTGATGCCACACATCACAAGTACATGAGAGAGACAGCCGACGCGACGCTCTATATAGAGTATGGCACTGTAAGATTTAAATCAATTTAAGAAAATAAATTTCTCAAAATAAAATAAAATGGAAAATAAAAAAAATGTTAATTAAATCCCAATATATTGAAACAGTTTAAATTAACGCTTTTTTATGTTTCGCTAACACAGTAGCTTTCTCAAGACTAACAAATTGCTACTACAGTAGAAAGAGTCAGTCTTGAGAAAGCTACTGTATGAGCATAAGCGAAACATATCATAAATTTGTTAATTTACTGTTACACAAAAAAAGCAAAACATTGTTTACAAAATTTGTTAAATTAAACTGTTTCAATATAGTGGGATTAAATAAATATTTGTTTTATTATCCGTTTGATTATCGAGTTCCACCAAGTAGAATGTAGAATTTGTTCTGACCAAGCTAGATTCAGTGGACTCTGCATCATCGGATTCGGGAGGTTTTAAGGATTTTGTGCAAAATATCCCAGCCAGAGTTTTTTTCAGACCGAAAACTATCCCTGGGTCATCAAAGGAAGGCTTCCCATCTGTCAAACCCAAGACGACCCATATGTAGAATGTAGAATGTTTAGGACAGGGGTTAATCACTGCGGCCTTACAGATCTATTGTGCGTTCCCGTTTCTTGAATTATAACGAGTTATAACTCATTATACAGTCTCAGGGCTTTGACAGAAGCCAGTATCTGAGACGGCTCCACAGACGCCAGCTCTCCATCTCCGACATCAGCCGTACCAAGGTTTATGGCACGAACGGTTGTCGTCACGGCACACTCAGTGATGAGGTGTTCTGGCGTTTCCCATTTTCCCTTCAGAATCTGCATTCGCCGTTGTTTCTCAGCTTTAATCTACTGAGGTGTTCGTTGAGGAAACAGTATCCTGTTAGAAACCCCGTGACGATCTTTGATTGTTCTTACTTAAACCAAGAAAAACCTTTGATTTTCTCGGTCGTAAGTTCTGAGAAACTCTTTCGAGTGTCTTAGATCGTTGGAGGACTCCCATTTCTGAGTTCCGAAGGTTACTGAGTTCCGCTTTAAGTTGGTTTTCGCTTGGAAAGCAGAATGGTTCTGGTCCAGCTAGTGGAATGTTCGCTCCTTTTCTAGCTATATCGTTTGCTTTTTCATTGCCTGAGCGGGCACCCAGAGTAGGAGGACTATTTTCTTTGCCTAATTTGTTCAGCTTCTCTAGACATTCTTTGATCAACTTCGTATTGATGGTTACTGAGTTGATTGCTTTTAGTGCTGCTTGACTATCAGATAAGATTGCTATTTCCTGTTTTTGATAGTTCCTTTCTAAGATAAATTGTACGCATCTTTCGACAGCGTAGATTTCTGCCTGAAGTATGCTGATGTTCATTGCTATTGTTTTGAAATATTTAGTTTTCGGCCCAAACACTCCTATCTCTGTCCAAGCTTTGTTTTTATAGAAGCATCAGTATACCACGTTATGGTATGGTTTTTCACATGCTGAGCAAACGTTTCTCTCTTCCAATCATTTTTATTGCGCATTACTACAGTGAGGTTTTTCTCAAAGTTGAACATTCTTAGTAGTCATCCACTGGGATTTGGAGGAGTGGAATTTTCTTTTTGAGGGTGTTCCATGTTCCAAGCCTCTGACGTAAAAATTATCCCAGTACTATTTCCGTCAATGTGTGTGACCATTCTAATCATTGTCGCATAGGCAAATCCACCAAGTAACTGCATACTCTGCAGAGTCAATTCAATAAATAAAATATTAATAATAGTACTGTCATAACGAAACATCGCCTATCAATATTAATACAAAAAGACACAAATAATACAAGACTAATTAGGTTACACTGTGGCTATTAGATTTTATATTAATTTTCAATTATTATTTTTTAAGAAATAACTATATATTAACAAAATATATTTTATTTTTTAGAGTAACAGAAGTCAGCCTGCAATTGGACTGAAACACACACCCAAATCAAGGGTAAGTTTTAAAATTTATTTCTATATTTTTTTAACTTAATTTTAAGGTTATTTGCTGCTGGTAAATTTCGACGTAAACAAATTAATTATTAAATTATTAAGATTTGAGATTATCAAGCAACCTAAAATTAAGGGTTTTAAATTTATTTTCACCGTCTTCATCTTGATTAAAAAAAGTTATTTGCTGAGGTAAACAAATTAATTACCTACTTAAATTAAAAACGTTTAACCAAAATAAGGTAAATGATCGGTCGATTAGGATTTAAACTTAAAATATTATTCTACGGAATTTAATTAATTAATCATAAATATATAAGGCTAAAATGTTCGGTATTTTTTTGAAAACCTCCAGCCAAAATCGTGCCGTGCCTTTACACTGGATTTTTTTATAATCAATCTTGGATAGAGATTTGTATTTATGGCCCTAGACCCTACATAAATTTGCGAAAATATCTTTGGGATACTTTATGATGTACCGTGACTCACTGAGCGAGTGCTATTAGATAGAGGAATGGTCTGACATTACAAGGTAGGCAAAGGAAAAAACCTTAATTTATGGCAGGTAAACATGAATTGTTCCGAGATGGATGCTGAGATTAACCTTCTTTGCACTTAAAAATATTTACAAAAATGTGGACCGGGAACTTCCCATGTAATGATTTTTTTTTGCATTCAAAAATGATTTTTTCCATATTATTTTATAATTTGTTCCATACGATCGAAAAACACGCCGTCAAAGACGGCTTGGGAATGATAATCGATGATGATAATATTGGCGAGGTCAATCTCTAAACTAATATATAAACTCTAATTTACTAAAAAATGACATAAAACTTGTCAAAAACTCACAGATTTAGCAATCGCTGCAACCATCAGAGACATTGGAAATGATAACACCATATATAAAACATAATTAACGTTATATATTTGCAGCTGAACTTGATATAAAAAAAAAACATTCTTAATAATAATAACTAATAATGATTAGAAGAAAAAATAAACTTATTTAAAAACAACAATTAATAGAGGGCAGTTCAACGTTATTTTGTTTTATTTTAGGGTAGTTTAAATATTGAAATATTCATAATCTATTTTATTACACCTTATAAAAATAGCCTTGATTTTTCCTGCAGATACCTTGAAATTAAGTAAATATATTATATATTTTAATCCTTAAATCCTTTCTGAAATATATCAATACCTAAATAAAAATATCGTTTCATTACAAACAACATAAATAATTGTCAAAACCCAAATCAAAAATTACGAAAATAGTACTGTTTTGTAACCTTTGCAAATATCAATATCAATATATTCAATTTTATAATCGCCCCCTGTAGCATAGTCGTCAAGTAATATCGTCGGGACTAACAATATTTGCATCTCGTATATCGCTGAGAGTTTCGTGCTGTCATGCCAGTTCACCTAAATTAGGCACCACGCGACAAAGTTTTGATGCTTTAATTTGGTCAACTGTGCGGCTAGTGCGACACCGGTACTGACGACCTTGAAAGAAAACTCGAAATTTGGCCCCCATATACGAACATAAACATTTCCAATGTTAAAATTAACTCTAATGATAGACACACAAATCTATTTCCAAAAAAATCGAATTCGAATTCCCGAATTTGGAACACCATTTAAAAATGATTTTTTCTCAATATAAAAGTAAAATACAACCTTCTTAAGGCCAACTATGTAGACCGAGTATGGACAAAGACAAAGAGAGTGACATCTAGGAAAAGTCGACCTCGTCTAAATTATTATCGATTGTCCTTCTTTGACGCCGTTTTTTTATCGTGTGGTATCTGTAATTAGATATAACGTAATTTGAAATATATGTTTTTGGGACATCATCATCATCATTTTCGCTTGTTCAACCATTTCCAATTATGGTGTAGCCTCCCCCACACAGGGGGGGGGGCGGGCGCTTGGGCTCCCCCTCTGTATCCGCCACTGGGGCCCATTGTTGTCTATGGTTGGCTATACGGGCCAAAGTTATCCCTGCTAATTTCCTAACAACATGGTCCCATCTCAGGTTTGGTCTTATTCCAGGTCTTTTTTTTTCCTTTTGGATAACATGCTGTAATTTTTGTGGTCCATCTATTGTCCGTCCGTGTTTATATAGTTGAGCTGAGCATACCCGTGAATTTGTTGGGCCCAACAACACGTTCATTCACAAAAAAATACATTAGTACGTACACAAGGGTAGTTGGATGCTTTCAAATGCAATTTTTATTTGAGGTATTGTTATTTTTTTCTAAGCAGAACATCTTTTAAAAATAATTGATTAAGAAACATGGTTTTAAACTGAAAGCACTGAATAGGGAAGTTATATATAAGAGTAAAAAAGTTTCAAAATAAATCAGGCTATCCAAATTTATGTTCCTCTAAAGTAGTTGTCTAAGATTTTTTTATTTAACAAGAATAATAGGGATAGCCAATTTCAACCCCATCCACTTATTTTAAAAACCACTTTGAAAAGTTGAAAAAATATACCGATATTGAGTCTGTTTTAGTAGTAGTAATACCCTCATAAAATTTCAATATTTTATCGTTATTTTTTTGTTAAGATAAAAACATTATTTTCAACCATATAGTTGCCCAATTGGTTGACGTTTGACTCCACATTTATTATAACAGGCCGCTCTTTATATTTATCGTGGAATCACCTCTTAAAGTTATAATATTAATATTGCATGTTTGGAATATTCCAATTTTTTATATTCATTCCTATTTTTTAATGTTTAATTCATATTAATTTATTTAAAAACTCACCCTATTACGACGGCACTGGTGTCTGAAGCGTGTATTGTTCTACCGAAGAAAATGCCCAACTCTTACCTATTTGACGCTATTCATGGTGTCCAGTTTCACATTACACGCAGTGTATGGTGTATTATACGAGTTGGATTAGTGAAGTCCCCTTTAGGATGTATTATGACCGTCTGCGGTGTTGTCATGTTATTGATCTGTTATTGCATTAATATTATTATATTAGAATAACAAAGCGATACTAATAATATTACAGTTAGCTTTGATATTCTATTGATGTACTAATATGTCGACCGGTAATATTATTTCAGTTAAATCGATTATGACTCTACCAATGAATAAACTGCTCCATATCTGTAGAGTAACTAGTCAACACATAACGTATAACAAGATCGAGAATAAAATAAATGTTTAGTTAAGTTTAGTAAGTAAGTAGTAAGTTAAGTGTATTATTTACTAATTTCACATCACAGGTTCCAACCAAATTTGTAATAGTAAAGTTGAACTGAAAAAGTAAAATTGTATATTTTGGTGATTTTCATAATTTTTATATTATCGATTTTTTTGCATTTGGTTTGCATCTGGTACACTTTTGACAATTTTTTTGACAACTTTTGACGACTATTAAAATTTGTATGATCATTAAGTAAGCCTCTTCTACACATAACATTTTATCTGTCTTACCTGTTCAGTCAAAACGTATCAAGTAAAACACTGTGTGTAGACAAAAAACGGACCGCCTGACCAAATCATTCTGTTTTACAACAAAACTGCCGTTTTGCCTTAATTGAAAAAATGTAAGTAAATTTTCAAAAAAATAAATTGGGATACATTACAGCATCCTTAATAAGCGACTTATAAAAATAAATTTTTAATATTTTTGTATAGTTTCACAAAACAATGTAATTTTACAATATTGTTTAGAGATATTTAATAATTATCAAACAATAATATTTTCACAATTGGCTTTGCGTGTTTACAAGTTAAATGCAAACAATAAAAAAATGTATAGTAAAATTCCATGTTTTTCTTTTAAACCTAGTAAAACATCCAGTGTATACGTTAGTTTTTAATCCTTTTTACCTGGCAGGTAGCACGCTATAGATGGATCTAAAGCTTTGGTTTCCTACAAAGCTCCCAAAGCGGTAATGCAAAAGAGCGACCCAAAGCGGTATTGCAAAAGAGTGAAAGACGGCGGGTTACGCCGCAAAAAACGTGTATAGACTTGCAAATCGGGGTGTGTTTCTCCAAAGCGCTCTGTAAGTTGGGATATTGCAACCTCCGTCTTGACGGTGCTCCAGTGCAGTGATTCTAGCTTTTATATTTGATTTGAATTGACTCAATGCGAAGAGCTGCAGTATTTTAACACACCATATTTAATGTTACTTTACACTATTACAATAATATTCGCCGTCAAGCGACCGCCAAATTACGTCCGCTATTTTACGGCACAGTTTTGTAAGAAACTGAAAACTGAAGCTTAATTGAGAACTGAGAGAACTTGAAATGAGTTTTCGGAAATTAAAATAATAGGGAAATTAAAATAACTTTGGTTGCACATCATAATACGACCACCAGCAAACTCCATAAGACGATGCATGGTGTCATTGATGACGTGCAACGAAAGTTTTAATTTCCCTATATCTCTGCATCTATCAAAGAACGAAATCGAAATTATATTACCATAGAAACGCTTTTTGATTTTTAGGATTGGGAAAAAATTCAACTATATTTTCTTGTTTTTTTTTAGTTTTCTCTAAAACGGTATGGAGATTTAAAAAAATATAAAAAGAATTAACCATTTTAGAACAAGCAAAACTTTTTATGGAGAATGTTTTTTCCTTTAAATATCAATAATAAAGAGTTGTTCCTCTTGTAAAGACAATCCGGGGACATACTGTATATATAACATCCCTTTATTTAAATTATAATAATTTTAAATTAAACTAAATAATAGTTGCCTGATTTTACGCCAGAAGAAAAAAACTGGTTTGGCCCCATTTGCTAGGCAATTATTGATGGACTTTATATATCCATTTGGTTTGGTTTGGTTTTGGAGTTTCTGTCATTAATTTCTGGGATATAAATAACAACAGATACAAGATACCTTGCTTTGGCATTTTTGCAAATGAAATGTTTCAAGATCATGCACTTTAGTAGGTCTTGATGGTTCCTAAACATCAAAAAAATTATGTTCAATAAAGTATTTTATAAATGTTGGTGACT